ACCAGTGAATAGTGGGATTGGCCGGCACATTATAACGCCCCCACGGCTGAAAGGGCGAGCATGTTTGGTAGAACGGGATTCGAGCCCGCAACCCACAGATTGCGAGTCGAGTGCCCTAACCACCTGGCCATGCCGAGTCGGTTCAAGAAGAGTAAATCGGTGTGTAGCCGAATTCAACCCTAAATAGTAATGAGTCAAGTGAACAAACAAAATGTTTAAAAATACCTCTGATCATATTGTTTGTTTGTAGTGACCATCTGTGGTCTTCAGGTAACTTATAAAAGTGGCGTTTTACTAGACAAATTCGCACTTATTTTAATATTTCAGTTCGATACTCCACTTCTGGATGAGTGCGACAGAATCACTGACTCAGATTTCGAGCTTTGTCTTCAAATGAATCACTTGTCATATTTATTCTTTTTTTCTTTTTTCAAAGGTCGCTTTACTGAAATATTTCTTTATGTCACATCGTAATTTTACAACCATCGAGGAAATGAGTAAAAAAACCCATCGTATGGGATTTAGTTTTTCTCTAGTGCCCTCTGATTCGTTCATAAGCTATAATAACATATTCCATCGGCTAACACTTTGAATGAAAAACATGTAAAGATCCTGGATGGCTTTATAAAAACTGAAAATCAACTAAATTTTGAAACATTGTTAACAGCATCATTGCTCATAAGGTTCAAATTATGAACAGCACAATGTACGTACTGGGCATTTGACTGCTGTAATAAATGTTTCTCCGTACACTAGAGTACGCTCCTCTCAAGAGAACAGGTTTACCGTATATATTTGATCATGGACACTTGTTAAAAGTTAATCTTTTCTCGAAAAAACTTTCAGTTTCTCAGGTCTGCATTCTCATCTCTACTGATTTTAACACTTGACTTAACCTTCAATTTACCAAACTGTTTATATATACCTTTCACTAACAAAGGATTAACATTTATTTTCTATTTTTGCCTGTTGCAAAATCCAATCTAATTATTAAAAAGATTGAATGAAAATGCTCTGTACGTAAAATATATAGAGGACTCCCAGCAGTAATTAAATGGGTTAATTGAAATTTAATTATAAGCTCCAACTGTCGCAAAAGTTGTTTTCCTCATTGACGATTTCCCCAACATCTTTCGGAGGTCAAGGCAATCCTGGGCAAAATAGGTGTTGCTGTTTTTTGGGTTTTTTTACACCATTTGTTGAAATTTTTTTTTCTAAGTTTGCTAGTTTCCGCGTCTCTCGCTCCAGGTCCTTATCCATTGTTCCTTGACAACTCCACAGGCCAAAAGTTATATACACATGGAAGCATACGCACTAGAATACTATTGATTATATATTTTTTCACGATAAGTTCTTTCATTTGTGTATCCCCTTGGACTATAATCGATGGTGTTGAGGTTTACTTCTGTTGGTAAAAAAGCAAGCGCAATTCACAAAATGCATTGTTTAGTTTTGGAGAATGGGATAATCATGTGGTTGGAAGTGTTACACCTAATTTGATGGTTCAGTATTAAACGGAAAATATTGGCCTCGTGTGTGTAGGGTATTTAACAGTAACGTAAATTTCATCATATATTTTTCGTAAAGAACAGAAAAATAAAAGAGATAAGATTTAGCTCATTTTACTTTTTATATCCTTGGCTCCCAGTTATTTAGAATATTAACACTGTTGTGTTCAACCACTGTTTTGGGTAAGCACTCCAACAACAAAACAAGGAACGGTCTGGAACAGAAAAGTGATGAAATATTTTCTTTTTTTGTTAAAACAATATTTCTACTAATGCTCGACAAAGCAAAAGGCCCTAATTGTTCATATTTAACTATCTTGTTTTGAGCTTATTGGATTATCTACTTTGATTTAAATAAATTAATTTGAACAAAATAATAAGAATTTCTAAGTTTGAATGGAAACATTATCATCGAGTTTCAGTTAAAATAAGATCCAAATATTTGACGAGTTATATTGCAATAATTATATTTTTTCCTGTTAGATGGCAGCAAGTGGTTCAGAGTCTCCAAAGTCAGACGAAAGTGTATCTTTTGAAGAGATGTTCGTAACATTCGCCAAATTCGGAGACAGCAAAAATGCGGGAGACGCAATTACCCTTTCAAACAGTGACAAATGGTTTAAGCAGGCTAAAGTAATCGATGGGAAAAAAATCACCACAACTGATACTGGCATCTATTTCAAACAAGTTGCAAAGTATGTCTGTAAGAATATATATATATATTTACATCTCTTAGGAGGTTTAATGCCCTCAGTTACACTATTATAAAGATATCCCCCATTTATAGGTCATGGCTCAAATAATTTTACTTGCTTACTAATACTCTTTAAAACATCAAACAATTAGAAACAGTAACTCTTCAAGTCACATTAAGTTTTAATGTTTTTGAAGCCTATTCACTATCCAGAATTCGCAAATGATTATTAATTAAATTAAGCTAAGTGGTATTATATATATTCAAAATTTATATCCGGAGCAGGCTAATAATTTTTATTGTTATTTTGGACAGAGTTAAGAAAACATTGAACCTGAATGAATACAACCAATTCTTGGAAAATATCGCCAGAAACAAGAAAATGGACGTGGCAGACATAAAAAAGAAACTTTCTAGTTGTGGATCACCTGGAACGTCATTAAAATCCACTGTGAGTTCAAATTTAATTGGTAATCTATTGCTAAATGAATTTTCACGCCCCTTGTTGCGAATAGGCATCTTTCTTGTACTTATCTCCACTTCGCAGTGTATAATACAGATACTTTCTATATAATACATTCCCAGATGGCTCAGCGGTAAGTCCGAGGGAGTACGTTTGCATTTGAATTTCGCGCAAAGCTACTCGAGGGCTATTTGCGCTAGCCATCTCCAATATAACATTGGTATACTAGAGGGAAGGTAGTTAGGCAACATCATTCCATGCAAACTCTTGGGCTACTCTTTTACCAACGAAAAGTGGGATTGACCATCGCTTTATAATGCCCCCACGGCTAAAAGAGTGAACATGTTCTGTCACGGGATTCGAACTCGCGATCAGCATATTGCGAGTTGAGCGCCCTAGCTACCAGGCCAAGCTTCCGAGGGCTTATGACGCTAAAACATAGGGTTTGATACCCATGCTGGGCAAACTAGAGATATCCCATTGTGTAGCTTTGCGCTTAACAACAACAACACACACACACAAAACAAGCTACATAATATAATGTTCTTTACACTTTATAACGCTAATGCAAAGCAAGCGTAACTTATGAATACAGAACTTCCGCTGTTTGGTCAGCGGTAAGTTACGAACATACAACGGTAAAAATCAGGTGGCATAAATACAGAACATTAAAAAAAATTCACTTTTGTCTGTTTGTAGTGAATCACAAAGCCACACATGGACTATCTGTACTGTGTGCCCATCGTCTGTATCAAAACGCGGTTTGGAGTGTTATAAATCTGCAGACTTCCCGCTGTGCTACTGGGGTGGACTTCTGTCATACCAATTTTCAAATATTTAATACTAATCGTTTATTGATAACTGACAATCTGCTTTGAAAGTGCAGAAATATAGGATTGCGTTGCTATTTTGTAAGCAGAAATGTACAATGTACACAATAAGCTATTTACGCTCTACCCAACGAGGAAAATCGAACATCGGGTTTTAGCGCTCTAAGACCATAAATTCACCACTGACTCACTAGAAAATGTTTTTTTAAGCATACAATTTTAGTAGCTTTTTTATTAACATATGGACATTTCTTTAAAATTACAATATGTTAATTGCTTATAACAAAATGAATATTTTTTTCTTGTTGAATTCAAACCATTATGAATTGCAAGATATTTCATTATTTAACCTTCTAATCGCCGATTTGTTTTTATACCATTCACTACCGATATTTCACTGTATCAAGATTGAAAAAACAAAAACATATTGGGTTTATTCACTACTTTAATGTTTTAAAACAAGAAAAGTAAACATAAGAAACCACATATAGACATGACATATGCTGTGATGTGATGCGCGTCATTACACAAATTGGATAAGCGTAAGATGCCTCCCCTCCCCCGCTGGCTCAGCCGTAAGTCTAAGGGCTTATTCACGCTAAAATTAAAGTTTCATTACTAACTGTGGCTAGAGCACAGATAACCTATTGTGTGGATTTGTGCTTAACTACAAATAAATAACACAAACGTGTAGTATTTCCCGTATAATGGTTTTCCCACGGAGCAGACAGTTATGCCAACTAACTGAAGGTTCGGGGAATACCAGACTACGAATACACAGATCTCTGATTTACAACTAGGTTCATATACAAGCAAGACTCGTCCCCTCTAAATACACGAGAAACGCGTGTATATTCACACACAACAACAACAGTGATATAACACAACAAAAACAAAAGCAAAGGTTCAGAAATGCATGATGAACTGATAAGAGTAACTTAAATACTTTATTCAAAAGCTCTTATCAGTTTGGTATGTTCCTGTTGTCAATTAAATTAAATCCTAAGCCTGAATAGAAACAAACAAACAACCTAATGTATATTAAAATAAAGTTATAAAATTACAATTTAAACAAAACTAAAAATCCAAACGTTAGCCAAAACAACACATTAAAACCTAACCACACTACTAAAGTTAAATCCAAACACTTAAATCTATCTTTAAAGTCTATTCAAATAATTCACTTCCCTAAGTTAATAGTAAAGTTAAAATACAAAATACAGAACACTAGTTACCTCACTCAAGATCAAAACAATAAAAGGTTGACACTGGGTTATATTATGTTACACTTTTGAAGACTGCTGCAATAATTCGGATAATCTTTACAATACTTAAACCTCTTGAAACTATCTAGTTCCTTGTTTACATGGGAAAACCCAGCTTTTTTATATAATACACTGATAAAGCCAAGTTTGCCCCTAGATATACCTCCGATCCAAGGTGTGTGTGTCCACTGAGAGTTTGCCTCTAGGATGTGGCTGCCCTTGACCCTTATCTAATTCGCCAATAGGTAAGATAGTTTTCTATTTATGGGTGTCAGTGCTATTCCCCCCTGCAAGAAAGTCGGTTAAATGTCAATTAGTAAACACATATCTTAACATTCTCTCAAAACAGGAAAAGTTAAAGTGTTACTTGATAAACTCTCTGCATACAAACTGAGATCTCTGAAAAACATAATAATTTTGAATAATTTTACAATTTTAAATGGAATAGCAGGTACATACTACTACACATGTGCATCTTCGGACAAAAACAAGTATAGATAACAATTCAAAACACATAAACAAAGTGTGTATGCTACATTAACACATAAAGCACAGCAGACAGACACTATCTTACGAATATTGAAAGGCATCACATGATTTTCATTCATATTTTCGTAGCTACAGTACTTAAAGTAACAAGAAACACAATCTACTCCAAAATAATCAAAAGAAAGAATGGTTAAAAATTAATTGTTCCAAAATAAAAGAGAAATATGAGGTCAGTGTTTTGGCCGCACAATCTTCATCTCTTCATGAATATAAGGCCCGGCATGGACAGGTGGTTCGGGCGCTCGAATCGCAATCTGAGGGTCGCGGGTTCGAACCCCTGTCCCATCAAACATGCTCGCCCTTTCAGCCATGAAGGCGTTATCATGTGACGGACAATCCCACTATTCGTTGGTAAAAGAGTAACCCAAGAGTTGGCGGTGGGTGGTGATGACTAGCTGCCTTCCCTCTAGTCTTACACTGCTAAATTAGGGACGGCTAGCATAGATAGCCCTCGTGTAGCTTTGCGCGAAATTCAAAAACAAAATCATGAATATACTTTTTTTCTTATGTTTATGTACCTTAAAAGGTCATTTGGCTGAAATGTTAATATATATTTCTCTTTTCCTTTATACAACAATTTCAATCGATTATTTTCATTTATCGATTTTATAAACTTTAAGTTTATGCATCCAAATACAAAGTACCGCAACTAAAATAATGTTTCGTACCCTATTACTACAGATCGAGTCTCTGTGTTTAGGGTGGGTAATAGCGACTCCCACAAATACTGACAATAAATTAAATTACAAGTAACACAACAAATCATTCTTCATGATTAAGCTGAATCAGTAATTCATTACAAATGTTTACAGTATCCACCATTAGAGCTGGGCGATTAATCAATATAACTGATTACCTATGAGCATCAATTAGATCGATTAGTATCACGTAAAATAAGTGATTAATCAAAGGTACAATAAAATCTATCTTTATAATGTAAATAATCAGTTACTCAAATGACGTTTCTAATTATGTTTTTAATTGTTCCAACTATCCAAATAATTGAAATATCGCAATTATGATTTTTCATTATCATTTTCGATAAATTCAAAGTTGTTCGGCTAACCAATTAATCAGGGTTAATGTTTACGATTATTACTATTTTCTGTTATCCCAACTATCGAAGTCTCATATGAGAATACTCGATTAGCT